TGAGTTAAAGTCCTGTATTATTTACTGTTTGCGCTTAAGAAGGATTGAGGGTTTGGACAGTTTGGTGTTTGAGATCTGAAATTTTTAGGGTTTTTTTATTTTCTGGAGCGGGAAATCTGGTTTTCTGTTTATTTAGGGTTCTTTCTTTTGATTGGGTGAGGTTTTGATTTGTTCTGTTTTCTTCTTCTTCTTGTTCTATTTATGTTTGTCAAAGCATGGAGATCTGATTACAGTGCTTTTTATTTATCTGAGGCTACTCATGTTTCTCTGAGTTATCAAGAAGTTCATGGCGCCTACCATAAAAAAGCAATAAGCTTCACTGTGACAAACTTAATTCACTTCTGTAATCAAAGGAAGAAAAGCAAAAAAGAAACAACTTGGGAAGATAGCAAAGGTTAGGCTTGCGTTTTTGTTGTTCTGATAGGGTTTCTATGCCCTAATCCCTGATATATAAACGCCAAACCCTAAATTATCTTCTCCTTATATTCTTGGGTTGCCTGTAAACTCATTTTTCAGCCACTTAAATGAGATGCATTTCTCTCTAGCTGCCATATCCACCCTAACCTTGTTGGAGGAGCTTTCTCTTTATGTAACATCCACTATTTATTGAACTTATCTTATGTTGAAAGCACTGATGAAGATGTATCTTTTTACATGCAATGAAGTTTCCCAAGGCCAAAAGCTTTTTTTTTTTTCTTAGTAAAAGAACATGAAGTCTAGCAAAGAAAATTTTGGGGAGATTACTTTGTAGATTAAGCTTCTTAATTTTCTTCTATATTGTCAAAACCTTGATCACAACTTTAAAGTTACTAGTCAGATCAGCACCTCTTTGCTCTCAATTGCAAACTCATTGCTATCAAATCACAGTTTATCTTGGCTAGAGTTTGTGTGCAAATAAACCTTTTATCTCGCCAATTCCATAACAATAAATATTAATGGAGCGAAGCTTTTACCGGAGGTTATTTACGGCTGGAAACTTTATAATTGCAAATCTTGTAATATTTTGCCCATGAAGAACATCATTGCCCCATCTCCTTGAATAATACCAACCCAACTACCAACAACTGTTAGATATGCTCCAAAGCTTTCTTTACTCCTCTGGTGCTTTGGATGGCATTGCTCAAAGCCTTTCTTCTTTAATGGGGATCATATTCTTAGATTACCTCTTTGACAAACTCTCGTTCTCTTTTCATGGAACTTAAGTTTCATGAAAAACTCACTAAGTTTCATCAATCCCAACTACAGATCAAAACTTAATTCGCGTCTGCCCTATAATGAAACTTAACCCCACTCCCCCAAGATAGCTATGAAATTGCTAAGCATCTTAAGAGTATTTCTAACTTTCACTCATGATACAAATCCAAAACCATACAAAAAACTAGATGTTACCCAATCCTAGCATCCTCAAACATTAAAGGAATTCAAAAAGTTGTTGAATCCCGAAGTGCACGAACTTGATCTGGCATTCTTGTATCGATCTTATATATCTTACTATAACCAAATCTCTTGAAGACTCTCTTCTCAACTCTCTCTTAAGCGTAAAACTTCAGCTTTTTCTTTCAAAGGATTGCATACAAATCCAAAACTATACAAAAAACTCAATGTTACCCAATCGTAGCATCCTCAAACATTAAAGGCATTCAAAAAGTTGTTGAATCCCCAAGTGCACGAACTTGATCTGGCATTCTTGTATCAATCTTATATATCTTACTATAAACCAAATCTCTCTATTAATCATAAAACTTCAGCTTTTTCTTTCAAAGGATTGTATACAAATCCAAAAGCATACAAAAAACTCGATGTTACCCAATCCTAGCATCCTCAAACATTATAGGCACCCAAAAAGTACTAATTTCCAATGAATTCGAAACACGATACTTTAGAGGTTGAGGATTCACATCCGATTCCACGTTGCTTTATGTTCTCATCCATCATAAAACTTCAGCTTTTTCTTTCAAAGGATTGTATACAAATCCAAAAGCATACAAAAAACTCGATGTTACCCAATCCTAGCATCCTCAAACATTATAGGCACCCAAAAAGTTCTTGAATCCCCAAGTGCACGAACTTGATTTGGCATTCTTGTATCAATCTTATATATCTTACCATAAACCGAATCTCTTGAAGATTCTCTTCTCAACTCTCGATTAATCATAAAACTTCAGCTTTTTCTTTCAAAGGATTGTTGTAGCAACTATCTTGTTGATTTCAATGATTGCATGCTTGAATTACACAATTTCGAGCTTTCTTACTCTTGGTTCAATAATTAGATTTATGTCATATCTAGTTTAAAACCGAAAGTGCTCTAGTTATGTTATTGACTTGACCTTGTTCTTTCTTTCTTTTGGTTGTTCTCCTCTCCTCATCTACTTGGACTCTCTCCCCAAAACTAAGCACAAGCTTATCTTGAAAATTCTTGGATCTATTGTGTTGACATTTTGGATATTATTAAGAATGCTTCGAGCAACTTTATTGAAGAAGACCGTGTTCTTCAAAAATGTCCATAGTAGTTAAATCCAGGCTAAAAAACACACTCTTTTGGGACAATTCCAATCACATCATCAATTTCACCAAGTATATCTCAAGCAAGACTAAGCCAGCTAGTTCGATTTTCTTGAGTCAAATCCGTTACATTGTGAACTTCTTTCTAATGATAACACTATTCAAGAAAAGTTTTTCAACATGTCCTCTAATGAACACATTTGGATTTCTCAGATAGCAAAAGCCAAATAGCAAAAGCAAAAGCCAAATGGCTTTGCCCATCAAAAATAAAAGAAGAGGCACCATCACAACAACATTAAAGAGATTTATTTTCTCAATGGCATTTCCTATGAGATTATGACTACTTCTCTCTTTATAATTAAGAAGAGATTATCAATATCCGAGAGCTTAATTTAATTAAATTTATCCATAACATATGGGACCTTATTGGTGGGCATATCATTATGGGTAGCTCAAACACTTGTTCAAATCTTCCAAATAGCCTAGTGTTATAAATTATAGTCCATTACTTTGACTCCCAAAAGCTCAATACGAACCATTTTTATGATTATAGACCTCTCTTTCTTTGCAACATCTTTTATGAAATTATTTATATGTTGCATTTCATCATATACTTACAGTCTCTTTCTTTGCAACATCTTTTATGAAATTATTTATATGTTGCATTTCATGATATACTTACAGCCTCTTTCTTTGCAACATCTTTTATGAAATTATTTCTAGGTTGCATTATCATCATAATTATAAATTGTTGATTACGATCGCCAATCTCTTTTTGATAAGATATTAATGGTTGGATTGTTGGCTGGAAATTAAATTTTTTTGGGGGCATTTAAATACATACCACTCAATAGATATGTATTTACATCAAATTTTCTTCTTTACAATTATACCACCTATATCTTTCATACCGCATCAAAAGTACCCCTTTTTTAACTTTTTAAAAAGTGAAATAGACTTGTTCATGCATAGGAAAGGTGGTATTTATGTAAAAAAATAAAGTATATGTGTTAGATATGTAAAATACATAGGAATTGAGTGGTAAGTGTGTAAATTTTCCTTTTTTTAATCATTTGTTGGTAGGTAACACATATTATCTATTTTTCACTACTAAAAATCAACATTAAACCTGTTCTCTCTTCTTTTCCAATAGATCGACGAGATTTTTGCTCAATCATCAGAGCATGGCATGAAACTTACAACATCAAATGAGGAAATTGAATCAATGAGCAATCTTTTATCTGAAATGCATTCATCCCTTGAGGTATGTGCTGCTTCAGATTGATAGATAAATTCATTACAGGCTTTAAAAGTCTGTCTGCATCTTCTACTATTAAAAAAGGAACATTTATATGCATACCACCTAATTCCCATGTTTTTACTTATCTAAAACCTGAACTTTACTCTTCAGAATTATACCACCCAATTATCAAATAAAAGATATGACCATGTTAAGTTTTGAAAAGTGAAATACACCTTTTCATGCTTAGGTAATATAGCATGTATGTAAAAATTGAAGCTTTGGGTGGTTAGATAAGTAAATATATAAGAATTGAGTGGTATGCATGCTAATTTTCGAAAAAAAGGGGTATTTTACATGTATATTACCTAATTCCTATGTATTTACTTATGCAACACCTAAAATTTACTCTTTACATTTATACTTCCCAAATATCACATAAAAAATACCATGATGTTAACTTTTAAAACGTGAAAATACACATTTTCATGCATAGGTAACATAGCATGTATGTAAAAATTGAAGCTTTGGTGGTTAGATAAATAAATTCAAAAGAATTGAGTGGTATATGCACGATAAGTAAGATAAGTATCATTCTAAAGTTCTTTTTTTTTTACAATTTACTTACCCAATGCTGCAGTCATGGGTTCTGAGGCTCACTCAATCACAGACCACAACTAAAACAGAAGTTCAGTTCTGCAAATCTCTACAGAAGGATCATCCTTCCACTCATGGAGAGCCCCCGAGAATGAAATACGAAGAACCTAACCTGGACATGGTTATATCTCCTTCTCCATTAGTTGCCTGGCGTGCCGCAGGCTGTCAACTACTGACAGAAAAACAACTGTTTTTGCTCACTCCACTATCAAAAATTAAGGCCAGAAATCCATACAGGAAGAACACAAATAATACTTTACAATCTATCATCAGGAATTCAGATTCCGTATCTGAAACAGTGAAAGAATTGGGTGCCTTAAATCCTTGTTTCATTGAAGAAAAGATCAGCATGAGCAAAACCACACTGAAACACCACTCCCAAACTGATCTGAAAAAGAAATCAAACAGGAGAAAGGATGCAAATGAGCAGGAGGCGCTAGAATGGTTCTTGTCGCCACCAAAGACCTGCACTGTAATGGATCCAAATGATACCTCAAATCCTTCAGTAATGGCCGGCAAGAGCTCGAGATGCAGAAATCCGAAGATCGCCACTATCATCGATGATCGTAACGATCCTGAATCTTTTCGAGGGATCGAAAATCAGGATGATCGCCATCTCCATGAGCTGCGATTGTGTAGTCTCGCGCGTAAAAAGGATTCTGATGGAGGATTGGAATGGTTCTTGTCGCCACCGAAGACTTGCGCTGTAATGGAGCCATTGAGGGACGGGAAGATACTGTCGACGCCGGTTGTTGTCGACGGCTCTGTGATTAGAAGCCGGCGAGCTGGGGAGAATACCTTGAAGAAGGAGCTCTGGACTAGGTTTCAGGCTGTGTCTATGGGTAGAATTCTTTACACAGAGTCGGGGTTGCAGAAGGTGGGGAAGAAAGGTTTTATGGATATGCTTGAAGAGGCTACTTAAATAGTTTTTAAGGTAGATTTGTAAATTTAAATTTGTTTTTTTTTTTGTGGCAAAAGCTATTTGAATTTTTTTTTTGAAATTTTATAAAAATTTGGGTATGTTTTTTAGGACTAGTATTTTGTTGATCACATGTAGATGCTATATATATATATATATATAGCAAAGTGTCATAAGTCCAATGGATATTTAAGTGGTCATTTTAGTCCGAGAGCTCATAGATGTGTCAAATTGGAGAGATTATTGCGTGCGGACACCGCATGCATCTCTGCATGCGGTGTTCGATCCTGGCCGTAGATCACGGTGATCTACGGTCAGGATTATTTCCGTTTTTTTTAAAAAAAATAAAAAATTTTAGGTGGGGCCCACCGAAATACATCAGGACCGTAAATCATGTGATTTACGGTCCGGATCGGGTCGGCGTCCGCACGCAAGCTGCGTGCGGACGCCGATCCGCATGGAATAATTTTTCGTCAAATTGGGAGCTAGACTCTTAAAATTTGGGACTTAATAGTCATATATAGTGTCACATCCTGGGTCCGAAAAGTCGGATGAGATGATGCCCTTACATGTTCTAATAGATCAATGGGACTCGACAAAGTGGGAGGACGACAAGACGAGCGGGAACTAGAAAATGAATTAATTGTGTTTTGGGAAGTTGGTGAGGCAGCGAAAAAGGTAGGCAAGAAAAATTTTGGAGAAATGTTGATGTTTACATATAGGGACTATTTTAGCCTCAATTTAAAGAATATGGGACCAATTTGGCATTTTTATAAACTTGGGGCTAAAATGACAACAAAAATAGTCGGATATATATATAAAGAGTCTGATGGTCTAAGATATGAAGGCTAAAATATCTCATACTATCCTCCATAATATGAGGGTAAAAATGTAATATTATATTTACTCTTTTTAAGTGCTATAAATAAATGACTCATGACATGTATTAAAGGTCCTATCTGTCAACCTCTCATATAGAGAGAACTCTCTCATTACCTTATCTTGTAACCTCTATTTTTCAAGGAATAAAAATGGGCAAAAGAGTCTGGGAACACCCCTCTTTGCCCTGATGGAATGTCCTCCTCTCTTTCTCTCTCTATCTTCTTCATTCTCTCCCTCAGTTCATATGCTCTATTCCTTTCATTCTCTCTCTATCTTCAATCTTATGTATTTATATATTTAGCATTTTTAACTTGTACACTTACCTGTATAGCGCTACCTATATAGCATTAGAGTCTCTCAATTATAACAAAATACATGCATGAAAAATGAGAAATCTTACAAGTATATTGTGTGTAAGAGAGAGTTATTCTGCTCCTCTATCCCTCTGATTAAACATTTGACCTATACTTTATAAGTCTTGGGTGACTTTTAGTTATGATACAAAATACAAATATATAAATGCATATAATGCCATGGCACGTCCAATACTTTTATGTTATATCTTGTAATTCTATGTTATATATACAGTTTTATGTCATGTTTTGCAACATTATGTCATATCATTTTATATAGCTGAACTTCGCAACTCGGCCACTCTGCCCACTTGACAGATGAACTTAGCAACTCAACATCTTGGAAGATGAGCTTGATAACTCGGCATCTCGACAACTCAACATCTTGACAACTTGAAAGCTGGGCAGCCCAGCAGGAATTTTTAAATGTATACACTATTCTTAAATAAATTGATCTATATATATTTTTTTTCTTGAAATGGTCTTTTTAACTTTATTTTCTATTTAAAGAGTATAAATTTGGTTGGGAAGAATTAGAAGAAATTTAAATGCATTTATTTATTCAATTTAACCTCAATTATTTAATTAAAAAATGTTCTATCTAAACTTAGTAAAAAATTGAATAAATGCTTATCCTACCACACCTCTTCTTACGCATCACTAAAATGCAATTTTTATCAGATAAATAAGAAATTAAAAAAAAATTTAGTTTTATTTTGAATCAAATAATTGATAAAAACTAATTAATTTTAATTTTTTCATCAATTTTATTTTCCTTCTTCCATTTTCTTCCATTTTATATGAAAGATTTACATATATAACCCCTAAATTCCTATGTATTTACATATCTAACCGCTAAACTTTAATTTTTACATCCATGCTATATTACTTATGCATGAAAAAGTATATTTTACTTCTAAAAAAATCAATTTTTGGTGTGATATGAAAATTTGGATGGTGTAAATATAAAAAGTACAGTTTAGGTGTAAGATATAAATACATAAGTGAGCGGTATGTATGCAAATGCCTCTATTTATATTTCTAATAAACAATATTAGAGTAAATAACTCTAGGATAGAATTGTTCAGTGGCCTCTGCAGACTTCATATCTTCTAAGAAAACTTGTAAAAGATTTACATTTTCTACGAGAATAAATTTTTTAAGAAAACTCTCGATTAAAATAATAATTTATTTTTTTTTATGAATTTCGATTGGAACAACTAAAATGCAAGCTCTATATGAACGAGTAGGGTTTTGATGCATGATATCTTGTGATATGAAGTAGACACCGACAACAACAACAATATTAGATCGTTTACACAAGACATCAGCGTTACCTGATATGAAACCCTTCAAGTAGAGAATGAAGCTAAACTATAAAACAACGACGCGTCTTTTGATGCAATTTCATCTAAGTTAAGCGCGCTTATTCGGGAGCAATCCTGGAATTGGTGACCTCCTCAGAAGTTACACCAATGGGACAAAGTTGAGAGGCCATTAGGCCGAAGCGAATAATATCTCGATAGAAGAGAGCTCATCAAGCTATTACAAATGGTATGAAAGCATCCACCGGTCTAAATGCTTCTTGGATGATTCCGAGATACTTAAATTAATGAGGCATTGGTTACTTAAATGGGAGAGATTGTGAAGCCCCATAAGAAAGAATGAAACTAAACACCTAAACATCGAGACGCTTTTGGTGCAACATCGAAAATTTCACCATAAACTTCAAAATTAAGCGTGTTTGTGCGGGAGCGCTCCTGCGACTGGTGATCTCCTAAGAAGTTACACTATTGAGGCAAAATCATGAGGTCATGAGGCCAAAATGGACAATATCTCGATGGATGAGAGTTGAAACTATTACTTGTTAGGATGAGATAACTAATTGTTGCTAATAAATATTTCCTCCCACTGAAGTTGCTCCTATGCTTCCAAGCTAGGAGTCACAGTGGCTCAAAACTACTGCTAAAAAAAAGCTCCCTACCCAAATACATAGTTACAACATATAGCTCCCTAGCTTAGCATTGGAGTATGTTTGGAAAAGTTTTCTATTAGTTATGCTATTCAAACTGCAACCATGCTAGCGTTTGCCTAACAACCTGCCAATCGCGTTTCTAAAAATAATTTTTGCCAAGTTCTAAGGGTGCATCTGTGTTATGTGGTTTCTTAATCCAATATTTTACAACTATATCTTCTATATTTTAAAGATAGGGGCACTTACATCCATAGCACCCAATTGCTATGTATTTACCACCAATATCAAACACCTAAACTTTACTTTTTATATTTATATCACCCAAATCTTTCATAACACAATAAAAGTACGACCATTTTAAAATTTATGAAAGACATCATTCATGCATAGGTGAGGTGCATTAGATACATAGAAATTGAGTGGTATGTATGTAAATCTTCCAAATAATAAATACAAAAGCCTAGGCACAAAACAACTGGAATATCATGTAATGCCAGTCAAAAACTACAGATTGCAGAACCTGGCAATTTTAACCAGTCAAAGCAACCATTAAACAGAAAATCAAACATTTTTAAGTCATGAAACGCATAAAAGATAAAGTTTTACCCAAATAAAATAGCAGATATATGAGAAGGAATGACCTTAGCCATCACATAATAACATAAAATAATAAAAGCACTTGCAAATTTACCTCTGAACAAGTAAGAAGATGCTTAGTTCATTAGCCAGAATCCTTGCAAAGCAAAATCCACCAAAACACCAGAAAGAAGTAGAGCATTAAAACAAAAATGAAGCCTGCCCATCAAAGAGCATTTACATGCATAGCACACAGTTTATATTTACACATACAACACTCAAATCTTTAATATTACATCAAAAATAGCACTATTACCACTTTTAATAAATGAAATACATATTTTCATGCATAGGTTTAAATCGCTGAAATGTTATGTATGTCAATATGAAATTTTTACGTGTGAGATATGCAAATACATAAGAATTGTGTGCTAGGCATATAAATTTCCCAAGATAAAAATGACTTCTAAGAATAGATTCTCATTAGAAAAGATGAAGTTTTTATTAGCTTCCAGAGTAGATTATCACCAGCAAAGATAATGTCTTTCTTAGTTTCCTATTAAAAAAAGGACTAGAGAACTCGAATATAAATATTTATGAATAACCTTCAAGCCACAGCAGCAGAGGAATCCTTCTCCACTTCCGCTTCACCAGCAGAATCTCCAACAGCAGTAGCCACTCCTTCAGCGCCGGCTTCAGCTGCACCATCAGGAACTTCATCCTCCACAGGCGGCCTCACCTGCTCTTCCTCAGGAAGAGGCTCTTCCATGTAATCATTCTCAAAGGCATCAGCAGGCACTTCATAGATCCTCACCTGTGGCTTCACCGGATCCTTCACAAGAACATACTTCCCCTCATTCAGCTTCATGCAGAGATCCACAATGGACTTCACAATGCCCCACATGTTCGAGGTATTCAAATTGATCTGAGCTGCAAAATCCCTTGGTTTATAGCCTATCACGCTAAGGATAACATGATTGAAATGATCCCTTGGATGAACCCTAGATACATAGCCCAGCTTCATCATGTCAGCACCAGCAAGCAGAGACTGCGCGGTCCATTTAGCAAGCTTGTTTGCGTTGTTCTTGAGCTCAGTGGCAAGCACAGCTCCCCTCTGAGTTTCAAGCTTTTGCCTCCAATCCACACCAGAGTACTTCGGGTCGAACTCGTTTAAGGCATTAAGAGTAAGGAAAGCTCGCTGACCTCTCACATCCGTAACGCTATGGACTTCGCAGCGAGCAATGAGATGGGTATCGTCGTCTAGTTTCCAGCGCCGATATCGATAAGCAACGGAGGCCACCTCCTCTCCCTCGGATGCGAAGGGGTTGGGCTCATCGAAGGTGAGCTTGTTGCCATCACGTAGAAGAACCTGTTGGGAGAAGTTCTGGTTTATGTAAGTGGCTTCAACGGCGAGTGAATGAGCAGAATTGATATCCTCCTTCGCTTCCGGAAGTGTCTCCGACGATGTTTCGTTGACAGAAAGAAGATCAAGCTGGGATCCATCACGCTTGTCGAAGAAAAGCTTGTTGCCCACGCGCTGGATGACAATATCCCAAGAATATACAGAACGGGGAGCGCACATAAGAGCTGAAAGAATAGCATCTGTAGCGAACACGGCTGCTTTGTCCTCGTTGGCTAAGCGACGAATAACTGGATCGTCGGTGGTTGTAACCTTAAAGAAGTTGCGAGACTTGAAGCGATCGAGGCGGCGCTCGTTCTTAGGGTTGATGCGATCAAAAGATTTGTCATAGAATTCGAGTCCGCCGCAGACGAGGAGGTCTTCTGGGGGATCCGGCACAGCAAAGGAGAGCTTGGCGAAGGTGGAGAAAGGGATCTGATCGAGCATAGTCCACTCGGGTTGGATGTCGACGGATGACTTAAGAGTCGGCGCATCTCGGCGACCGCCCCCCTGACCTCCGGGTCCGGTGGCGGGGGAGCGGCTAAGGGTGTAC